TAGAATCCGGAACCTCAATGTTGGACGCAAATATCAATATTATATCTTTAAGTAACAAGCTTCTTTCTGATATACCTAGCAGTATACAAACATTGGAATGTACCATTTGTAATACAAAAACCGTATTTCATGATGCAACAATAATACTCAACGAATTGTTCAATAGTAGTGGACACTTAGAAGATATAAATAAATATTTAAATAAATATATTACGGAAAAAAAAGAAAAATGGTGTCCAAACAGCAAAAAAATAAGTAGAAATTCCATATGAGTGTTGCAGGAACATATTTTATTGGAAACAGACGTATTTAAATGTAATACGATAAATGAAAATAAAATCTTAGTCAATGATATAACATCAAAGTTGTTTATTGGAAAAGAAAGGTAAATATTTAGATGTTAATAATAACTATTTATATATATATTTTAGGAGGTAATTTATTATATACTAATATTATAAATAATTTATTATTTAGGTTTTCACTACAGTCAATAATTTCATACATTGGAGATTCAGATGTAAAAAACATGGGCCACTACGTAACACACTGCAAACGTGTCAAAGGTTATTGGGAAATACATAATAACTTGGTAAAAAAAAGAACAATATATAAGTGTACAGAATCCAAATATGTAAAACCACATCTATTATTTTATATAAAAATATCAGATTAAGTATGTTAGATTTTTAAGCGTTTTAAAATTTAATTAATTTTTTTCCCGAAATTAATTTTTTTATTTATTTTTGTAAGGCTCTAACAGGTGTATATTTATATTAAAAAATAATTTTAATTAATAATTTTAATAATACAAAGAAATATTTACATTAATCTACTTAATAATTTATTTTATACTATTGAATTTTAATGAATGTGAAGTGGCTTCTCATAATAAGTTACGAGTAGTAACAATTTATTTTATACGTTTATAATTTGAGTATGTTGTAAAATATCTTTAATTTAAGATTTTAGCCTAATCAAATAAAAATAAAAGTAAAATTCTAGTTAATTAAGACATTTATTCGTTCTAGATTTTGTTTTTCTTAAATATAGATTTATTTTCTTCAACTTACGATCTGTTCTAGACGAATTGATTGAACTGGGTGATATTATAAATTAAAAACTTATTTTTTTTATTCAGTTATCTTCTTTGGGAAATCCATCGGTACTTAAAATTGATGAGGTAACAAATTCCAAAAATTTGGTTACAAATAGTTACAAATTGATTTTTATAAGTTACAACTTGTTTTGGACGATTTCGTTGAATTGGGGGGGGCTACGTGAAGTTAGCCCCTCATTGAGAAAGTACCCGTAGCTTGAAAAATATGAGGTTACAAATTCTAAAAACTTGGTTACAAATAGTTACAAATTAAGAAAATAAGGTTACAATTATTTTGGAAAGTTTTTTTTATAGTGGGGGGCTAACTTCACACACGTAATATATTGCGCCACGGATTTATATATTGTACCATGCGTAAAACAAACATAATAACACCATTAGTACGTGCCATTTATTTCTAACATTTTCTCTCGGCCTACACTCCTTGATAAGTATTTCAGTTATCATATATAGGGTTCAATGGTTTTTCATGTCCAGAAGTATGGAACAAATTCATGAACAAACAACTCGAAATACCTTCCCGGTCCAGTTTAAGATCTAATGAAATATGATACACGGCCTTTGGTATACGATGGAACTACCTAACGATTCGATAACAATACACAATAGATCATTGTGATATCAATGATTTCTTTACTCGGCTTAATATCTATAAAATATAGAATTTAAAAATATCCACTGTTTAAAACCACGAAAAACATTATAAGCGTCAAAGTATAAATATTGGTCAAATCATAATTTATAAACATATTAGTAATTAAAATTACCATCTGTTTTTAGAATATTATTCGAAGGAATGTTTGGAAGATGACATATTATGATTAATCGTTGTTGATAATAGCTTCAAGCTACCTGAATTATTAATAATTTGGTTGATTATATAGAGCCTACAAATGTATTCGGTTAAATTCGAATACAAATTCGTGTTGGTAAATTAATTTTGGTTTGTTATTGTTTATAAATATGTATCTGGATTTCGATTATAATATATATATATATTAGTGATGGGTCGAACTGTTTGAATCTCGAACCGAACCAAACCGAACCCTTGATGTTCGGTTCGGTTCGAAATTAAAACTTGGCATGGCAAAAAATAGAACAGAACTATCAAGCATCTTTTACTGTTCGAATATCGAACTTGAAAATATTTGTCGAACCAGACCACTATACTTTGAAAACCAAATATTTGTACAACTCTTAAAAGTTATTTTTGAAAAATAAAAATTGATAATGATTATTTAGAAATAATTAGACTATTGGCGATAGAAAGTGATAATCTGTAAAGGGCACGTTATGCATTATTTATAATAATAATGTTATTTTTCTAGTCGCATGTTACACATCCACCCTCCGCCGACCAAAACATTAATAAGTTGTTTATCTTTAATAGAGGCAGTGTATCTATATTCATTAATTAGCTATTTTTGTTTTTATCATATTTATTGTAGAGGTTAAAATCTATTTTGGGTAAATCCATGGTAATATTCCGATACCCCGATTGTGCTGTTAATAATAAAAACATGTTTACAACTTTTGTCTTACATTATAAATTCTACTAATCATTCTATATTTGTGTATTATAATTATTATTACTACTTTTTTTATATATTATTAAAATGTACTGATGTATTCTCATATTACACTCAATACTCAATGAATATTTTATAAGCTACAAGACAATACGAGAGAGCACAACACTGGTTTTGAAAAATAATAATAATAATAAGAAATTATCTAAAATTTAAATGCATTGTAAATAATACAATTACTTAGACTTAAAAGTTAAAATGTAGAATAGGTAATACGAAAACTTAAAATACAATAGTCAATAATAATTATGGTTGATTTAATTTATAGGTAGGTACAATGTACATTATAAAAAGTATTGAGTTCGAGTTCGAGTTCGAAAAAAATAATTTAATGTTCGGTTCAAGTTTGGTTCGATTTTAAAAATCAGGGTTCGACCCATCACTAATACATATATTGTTTTCACTTCATTATCCTTATATTCTACAATGTTATTCATTTAAATCGATGAATTGATTTTATTAATTGATGTTAATAAGTTTTTGGATGATTTTTTGCTTCACTATCTCTGTTCGCAAATTATTATTTACCATCCGATATAATATACATTCGTGGTTTTTAAAACTATATTTTGCTCAATAAACTGTGTTAAATAATATTTGTTTTATATTTGTTTACATAATATAAAATTATTAGTACTTATTGTATTCATTTTAATATTTATGTTTTATTTAAACCAGGGACTGAGACCGGACCGAAAAGAACCGGTTACGGGACCTAAAACCTAGTGTAAATTAAAGAACCGAAAATAACTGTTACCTGTATTTTATATTTTTAATATACTCTAACCAATACCGAAACCTATAAACAATACCAAAAGACTACCGGTTTTTTAAGGGTTTTTTACTGTTTACAAATTCCTATTGAAATCGAAAGAAATTACTCTTTAAACTAAAAATATATTATTTAGAAACAATAATTACATATAATAATTTATACTATACAGTATTTACGCAATGTTATATTCGGCCGTCGACCAATGAATATAATATTATTTTCTATGGAATATTAATATTTATTATGTATATGTTACACGATAATGTCGATAACGGATCATTTTTGCGGACAAAAATACAATTATAAAAATTACACTGGGTTTTTGAAGTGTTTATTTTTATAACATATCTGCACGTCAAACACAGAACAAACGCATATCGTATTATCTTTATTATAGTTATTATCGAATATCGTTGCTCAGTGGTGAATTTGCTATATTTGCTATTCAGTCGTCGACGCATGAACACGCAGTCTACCTTTATTAGTTAAAAAGTATCAAATTAAAATTATGGGCCATCATACCATGTCATGCGTTTTTAAATATTTTGTTTACGATAAGAAATCCAACGAGTCAGTTTGTAAAAGTTGCAATGGAAAAATAAAAATATATAGTTACATATTTTTGTTTCATTTAATTTTAATATAAGTTTAAAATCGTTGACAAATAATTAAAATAATATAGTAATAAAATGGTAGTTAACTATATAATATTCAAGTAAATAGACAAGACGACATTATCTTTATAGTTTATCTATACCATCAACTATAATAGTTCAGCCTTGAGTAATTTATTCAGATCCTACTCACTATTATGTTAAAAATATCCAATGTGAATATTATATGATTATCTATAAAATAAAAAAAAGTACCTATGATTTTATCAGTAATTGTTCTTCACCTGTACGTGTAGCTTTGTAGCAGATTACTTATGAAACATTTAAATAATATTTATTTTGATTAATTTAGTTTGTATATTGTATTTCTTAAATATTTATATTTTGAAAATCTAATTGATATAGCTAGGTAATCAGATATTATATACATATTTATAAATATGTATCTGTAATTTTAAAAGGGAAAACATGGAACAAATTTGAAAAGGCACCTGAGTTCCCACCAGGATATATAAGGAGATGCTGGTTAAAGATACAGAAATAAAAAGATCTACCCAGATTAATACATCTGTTATCAAAGCACATGAGAAACTTTTATTTTTCTATACCCGAGGTTAAAATTAACATTAATATGAACACTTTAATCAGCGCCTGCAAATACTAAAAAAATAATATACAATATATATTCTTGTATTAAAATTTCTAGTTTGAAAAAATAATGTACAAAAATAATTGTTAGAAACCGATTGGAACCCGAACCTAAATTTTAAAACTTTTAAAATCCCGAAATTTAACCTAAACCCTTAAAAAAATATTTTAAAAACCCAAACCCTTACCCAAACCGTTAAAACCATTAAGGTCTCAGTCCCTGATTTAAACTGTTATTTAAAACTGTTCAAACATAACAAAAACAGTAGATTTTTTTATGCTTATATAAATATGTAGATATAAAAATACTGAAAAAAATAATATGTTCTATGACAATAATTAAAATTATTTTGATGGGAGAGAATTTTTTTCCAGGTAGGCTAATATGAAATAACATTTTATTTTTAATACTTAATAAAATTTAAATTTTAAACAACCACAACGAGTTAACTAAATTATTTATTATTAAAAAAATCAAAAATTTAAATAAATAATTTAATCCTCTACCTATATGTGTATTTTATATGTTTTTTTAAAAGAAATTATTTGTTTGAAACCTCGTTCAGTTTTTGTAAAAGTACCAATAAAATATTTACATGTTTAATATCGTTAACATATAAACGTTAACGTTTTAAATAAAACTGTACTTTTAGAGCACTTTAACTACCTTTCAATATGTTTACTGAGAAAATAAAACGCAGTTATGTAAAGGCGCGTCCACATAGTATGAAAACATGACACACAGCTCACGCGCTTGAATCATGTGTGATGTTTGCAAACATCACATACTGCACACATATTCACCGTACACGTAGTATTTAGTGTATTTGATTTTCGTGTTGTACATGAATGAAGT